TCGCTCGTTTAAGAATTGGATTCTCTCAATTGAATGCTGACCTATTCAGGTACACCCTTATTCCTGATCCATCATGCACATGTGGAGAAGAGGAATCACAAAGTCATTTTTTTCTGATCTGTAGGAAATACCATAAAGCTCGAAAGAAACTGATGAATACTGTCAATTCCATTTTGGGCACTCAAATTATTCTCTCTCTTCACTCTCTACTCTTTGGTTTTAGGGACTTGTCTATTGAAGTTGAAAAAAGTAAAAGTATTTATAAGGCTATCGTTGATTTCATTAGAGAGTCTAACCGCTTTGGGGCATAATTGATGTTTCTTCCCTTACGTTAAAATTCTTCATACCTCACTCACGCAGTCGCCACAGAAAATCATCCACATCTCCTTCTCATCTCTGAAATCTATATTGCTTCTATACTGTTTTCATCTGGTAAAACTTTACCACCTGTTTTTGTTCTTTTTTTTTTATCTAGTTTTTTGTTTTTTTTTATTTTGTATTTTCGTTCGTGCCTCTTCCTCTCTCCCAGTGTTATGCAATGGGCACAGCCCGATTTGATTACTGTTTCTTATATAATAAAGTTCAAATCAAGTTAAACAATCGGCGAACGACAAATTTGTATGAGCAACATAATCAAAATCGCCACATGGACAAGTGAGAGCATAGATAATATTTGATGTTGTACAGGTGACCCGATTATTAAGTATGGCTTCATAACCATTAACAAAACGATGAGTTTGGTTAGGAATAAACTGTACAGCCGACCGTTGTAAAGCTGGTGCATGTCGACGAAATGGTGAATGACAACAGAGGCAATCGAGTTTAGGACATTTCATACATAACGACCTTGTACATGCTCTTTGATAGTGTTACAGAACACACCATTAGTACTTTGAACACTACGAAATGAACAAGTTTTCAAATTGAACGTGTCAACATCCATCTGTAAATAAAATTCCAATGCTATAGATAAATCATCGTCGGTAAGTTGGAAACCATTTTCATTAGCACATTTCATCATTCGCGTGAGATTATGATGAATGATTGGTATTTCCATATGCCAACGTTGAGATAACTCGACATACAGTGATTGATAACGATTCACCATGGGCGAATTGATTTTGTTTTGTTCGATCCATTCCCATAGGCTTAAATTGGATGAATTTATCAGTACTGCCGATTGACGATGCTGACGCTGTTCAATATTCAACAATTTCATGGGAACATTACACAATAGTAGATCATGTTCTGGGCGATTTGGTGATGGAAGAAAGACTGGTAAAATCATTCGACGTCCAATATTGTGTTGGTTGAGTGTAAGAGGTCGATATTCCATAACATTATCTTTCTTCGATGATTTCTGCTTGGTAACTGTATTCGGTACACATAGTGACGGTTTTTTTGTTTGTGTTATGACTGAGACAATTGCAGGTTCTGCTTCATATAATGATGCTTCAGAGAGAATTTCAAGTTGTCGACGTGATAAATTCGAACGCTTTGCCATGATCACCATTCAATGAAAATATTGAATATGAGTAGATAGAACAAAGTTATTAGTCGTAGAGGTAGGTGGCAGTTGTTGTTGTTGTTTGAGCAAAAGATAATGTGAATCTAGAAGAAAGACAGATGAAACAAAACCTATTATCATATCATGGAACATAATTAAAAATGCGCAAATTCTTAGAAATGATAACACATGCAAAAAGACACTCATCACCAAGAAAAAAATAAAGATAAAACAAGAACGAATAATATCAGGCAATTTGAACTTGATTATGATTGTATAGATGAAGATATTGTTACAAAGCGAAAAGAATCGATTGTTTGTGACTGTTGGCATAGTTATATGTTATGAGATGATTACCTTGACGGTTGTCTCCTACTACTAGCATCCGTCATCGGGGATGATCGATGAATAACATTCCGACACCATTCACCACGATCAGCTATGATGGCTTCAGATGACATCCGATCGATATTATCATCAGTGTCATCATTATTATCGTCATCTTCATGAAGAAGTTGACCGAAAGTATTCAATTTGGCTTCCGTATGAGTGATGAAGAGTGATTCGACAAATCGTCGAACAGGTTCTGAAGCATCGACTGGTACTAGATGATAGATAATAATCATCACTTAGTTTCATTTGAATTGATAAATAACAAAAATTGATCATATTTAATTTTGACAAAATTTCATCGAATATATCAAGTGTTGGATGAATGAGAGTTAACGGTTGAAGATGAATACATTTCGTTAAATCACATTTTTTAACAAATCGCTCTATTCTTGTGGAACATGTGTGGAACTATGATCAGACACTGTTAAACTAAATGTCGTTTCATAATTTGTTAGAATTAAATCACAATATTAATCAAAATGTTTTGTAAATGATAAATTTAAATTTAACGGTTTCGATTTGATAAGAGTATTTATTCGTGTATTCAAGTTTAAAAAAACGAAACAAGTATATCGGTATCATCTAAATAATCAGATATTTGAAGAAATAAAATCGTTTTTTTTTGGTAACAATTCCATCAATTGAATAAAATAAAATGTTCTTTCTTAGAGAAAAAGAAAAGAAGAAAAAAATGAAATCTAAAATTCTTTGAGCTCTGTAAACGATGAAACGAGTGATTTTCTTCATTTTTTTTCCCATTTCGCAGGAAAATGCACATTTTCAATCAAAGTTAAATGAACCGATTTTTTTTCTTCTCTGTTCCAACTCGATGCAGAAGTGTATATTTTCTGATTTACAGAAAAGAAATATTTCTATATTCTATCGCAGAAGGCTGTTCCAGATTTTTGTTTGTGCCGTATTGTCATCAACATCTGTTATATCTTGACAGCTTTCTTACTACAGCGTACGGACTTTGATGATGAAAATGAGCTTACTTTGGAGTTAGTTAGACTTCAATCGTCAAAGAACTCTTTTGCAGATAGTGTCATCTTCAATCATTTGACTGTTTCCATCATAATCGCATAAATATAGTATCATCGTTGTCATATCATGTTTTCTTATTAAGCGAAAAAGAAAGAAAAGAATATACACAATTCCTTTTCCTCTTCTCATCAGAGAATAACGAGGAAAAATATGGGAAACAATGGCCTCATCTGATAACATAGCTAGTCTGGACGATAAACGCAAAAACAACTTTCGTCGGTGATAAACAATATCCAGATATCAACAACAACTCGTCTATTTCCAGTTCTTCTGCCTTGCGTGGCCTTAAAAGAATATTTCTCATTTCGTCTTGCAATTAGAAATAGAGAACATGAAATGACAGTTGAAATTGAACTTTTTGTTGTAGTCACATAGGAAGGAGTTGTGCATGAAAAAACGGCTTAATACGCAGCGAGAAACCAAAAGTTAAAATTTTTTATCGTCTATGAAACGTATGGGCACCGAATAAATAGAGTCTTGTTGGTTGTTGGTGAGTTTTGCATAAATCACCTGTGTTTCATTCTGGAAACTATCGAGATTCATTTTGTATAAAGTAATCGGTTTAAGACTATATTTATTATCGCTAAAATCGACATAATCAAGATTCTTCTTGTACATGTTCATCATTGATGATTCCAATACGGAAAAATTGGACGGCGGTCGTTTGTTCGACATTGACGTGAGAAAAAATGAGCGGCGAAATATAATCCTACCGTCATTGTCCTCATCATCATTTGGTCGACGACGACTAATTAGACTACCTACAGCAGGCGTCACTAGCTGGTAGGATTCAGAACGATGCTGCTCGTCACTTCTCCATAACAACATGTATTCATTCAACGTTTTTATCAGGCGATCGGGACGACTGCTGTATTCATTATGCCAATAAACCAAATCCCACACTGTGCTATGTTCAGATAATACTTCGGTTTCAATAGCAAGCTTTTCCATAATGTTTTTTTTCAGCTGTTCGCGTTCATCTGTACAGCCGTTAAATAATTTAGCAGAATTTAGTATTTGAAGAACTAAATCATCCATCGTTTCTCTAAACAAATATCGTATACTTGAATGATTATGTGGGGGTGATAACTGCATGTCTCTCAATCTCGAGTACAACTTGGTTCCTAACACATGATCGTTTGTTATTTTAATATCCATCCGTTTTCTGCTGTGTAATAACGTGTATTCGAAGTAAAATGCGTAGAATATTTGTGGATATTGTTGTAGATTGGCATGTAATCGGT